GGAGAAAAGAAAGAAAGAGGTGATGAAATGTTAACAAACCAAGAGAAGTGATTATATGCCAAGATTGAAGTGAGAGGTTGACTGTGATCTGTATAGAAAAACAGTTGAAAGTCGTGGAACATGCTAAATATTCTGCAAGAGTCACTCTGAAAATTTTACTGCACTGAACACACCTTATATCCTACTTTCATAGCATATGCCGCATCCTTCTCCACTATGTCCAGGATGGAGATCATTCAGGTATTTGATTACTATCAGTGACTTACTAGTAAGTCACTGATAGTAATCAAATTAGATCACGTGTTCATTTTACCCTATTTAATTATTGGAGAAATGTAAAAGACTCCTCAGTTCAGGTTCTTCCCAAGGGATGTTTTGAACAACTAGCAAAATTCAAAGTCTGGAACACTAGATACCAGAAGCTGCTGGAATTTCACCCCACTCTGTCTGATAAGCCTTCTATCTTGAACTCAAGGGAGAAACTCCAGGAATATTTTTTTAATAATTGTGCCCACCATGATAGGCAGGCCATTAATAACTCCAAATTCTCCCACTGGTTTAGACTGTACAAACTTGACCATGATAGGGCTATCTACCTGACTAGGCTCACATTTCCAAAACTTAGACAAGCCTTCACTGCCCTTCGTTTCCAAAGTATGCCCACAGCAGTGATTGATGGCAGATATACGGGCACCCCTCTGGCTCTTCGTTTATGTGTTTGCGGGGCCCCGGAAATTGAGGATCTGCCTCACTATTTGCTTTTCTGCCCTTTGTATTCTGATCCAAGAACCAAAATACTCGGGTTTATTCTTCACCTCCTTCAGACCAACACTGTGTCTGAAAAGATTTTTTATCTCTTGGCTGACACTAACCCCGTGGTTACTCAAAAGGTGTCTCTTTTTGCCCTGGCAGCACAGAAAATCCGGGCAAAACTAATCTCTGATATTGCAGTTGACTGTGCTGGGGATGCTTTCAACTAATAGTGACTGTTTGTGTAGTTTTAATAATGCTGTATCTATTTGCTTTTACTTGGTTTTTAATTACGCAGGTATGAGTCTTCACATTATGTAGCATTTTAAAGCTGCATCTTGCTATCGATGTATGTAGCATTTTAATGATTTATAGGATTTTATAGCATTTTAATGATTTATAGGATTTTATGGTGTATTTTATATTGTATTTGATAATCTCGTGTCCATGTATTTATTTGTTTGCCTTGACTTGTATGTGAAAGACCTATGGTCTAAGCATCGAATAAACTAAAGGTGCAATTGGTGGGGACGAGAGACAGAGTCTTCTAGGTGGTGGCTCCTTGGCTGTAAACTCCCTCTTCAGTGAGATTAGAACAGCCCCCCCCCTCCCCGTGTTTAGAAAACAACTAAAAACTTGGTTATGCAAAAAAAACATTCAGTGAATGACAACAATAATGGAGTAGACAGATGACAACCTTGGGATCAGTGAAATGTTAAAATGTTTCATGTTTATGTTTGATGGTTTATAGTTTTAATGGTCTAATTTATAGTCATTATAGTCACCTAGTTGTACCTTTTGGGAAATAATCACTTACATATTTATTTATTTCTTTGATTCGTTAGTACAGATTAAATTTTCAGATTTTCATTCCCCATTGTAGAATTAATGCATTTTGACACCACTTTAACTACCATGGTTCAATGCTATGAAATCCAGGGATTTGTAACTTGGTCACACCAGTATTCTTTGGAAGAGAAGGCTAACGAACTCATTAAACTACAAATCCCAAGATTCTATAGTATTGAGCCAGGGCTGTTAAAGTGGTGTCAAACTGCACCATTCTACAGTGTAGAGGCATCCTGAGAGGCAGACCCGTAGCCAGGATTTCGATTCGGGGGGTGGGGGATGAGTCTGAGTGAAAGAGGGTCTACCCTAGCAAACCTATTGTATCGTTACCCCAATACCCCCATGCATATGGGATATATTGAGTATGGTGATCAGATCATGATATGAATAAACATAACAGTTTAAATAATGCACCAGTAAGGCCTTTTTGCGAAACACCATGAGAACCCCCCCCCCCCCCCCCCGGGCTACATGCCTGCTGAGAGGAAGGGTGCATGCATTTTCATTTCAAAATAGACCCTAAAATGCTTGTGCGTAAACACAGCCAGTTAATTCATACACAAAGGAGGACCTCAAGGGATTTTTGAATGTTGATTATGTGATGTTTGTGCTTTTCCAGTATATTTTTAACTTTAAGGACAACTAGTCTCTTAAGTTTCAAACACTGTAGAAAAAAATATAAATGCATATATTTAACCTTCTCCGATTAATAATGGGGAAAGTGGAACATGACCATAATACTTCTATGATAATAAGATTGTTACAAATAGAAAGTATCTTCTACAAAATAGTTTGCTCCATTTACGTCTCCAATGATAAGAAATTAAGTAACTTGTATATATTTCTGATTTTTTTCCATGATGGATTCTGCTAAAGAAAAAGACACCCAAGTATTAAAATATTTAGTTTTCCAAATTCTGGAATCTCTATGCCCATCCTGATTGTACAATCACCTCCAGAGATCAAATCCCATCTTTCTCCACCTTTAGCAAAGTGCAATAATAAAGGTGTGATTTTGGGCAAGTTAAACTGTCTCCGCGACATTATTAACGATGACTTTTATTAACTATGACTATTATGTCCCTAATAAGCTCTTTGTTAGACAAGAGGATAATATTTTCCAATAACAATTCGTTAATTCTCGTTCTGCTTTTTCCCTTTTGTTGAAAACAGACATGAAACAGCCAACAGGTAGTATGAGAAAATTACATACAATTGAAAACATAGCGCTCCAAAGTGATGTTCAATAATTTACAATCGTATGCTAGGCAACCAGGTACAGTTTGGGCAGGTGCTGTATTCATGGCTACACATCTGTGACTATTCAAAACACAACCCTCTTTGTGTTATTTACTAACATCTCCCAGTATCCTTGTGTTGGCTGCAGCTTATAGGAAAATACAGTGCAGTAATATCTGGAAGTCCCCATTTTGTATGAAGCAACATCTTTACGAGAGAGAAAAAAGTTCACAATAGAAACATGCAAATTGCTTAGGAAAGGGGGAAATATGTCAAGAGCAAGGCGCGTCAAGCAAATCCTTGTAGGGGCCGCCTTCCATCTGGAAATCTATGTTCTCATTGTGAAAGACTGTGTGAATCAGGAATAGGTTTCCACAGTCATTTATAGATCCACTGCCAAGACTCTACCCTTGGAAGACAATCATACTTGGCCACGAGTGATCACCTATGGTGATACAGGACTACAGAACTTGCTTAAAACAGTGTATGAGCCAAAACAAATTGTATGAACCATGTCTAAGTGTGTACCATTTTCCCCCAAACCAATTAACACTATGTAACACAATTTTTGTTCTGGGTAATAAATGTCATTTCCTAATTGGTTCTGTCATAAAAACGTGGAAAAAGTTTGTTAAACTGCAAAAACTTTGTTTTTGATCATATTTTCATTAAGGAGAAATACAAACTCTGATAGTAGAAGGATAAAAAACAGAAACGAGGTTTTTGGAGTGTAGCAACTACTTTCAAAGTAAGTACTACACAATTAAACAGCAAATAACACTTTCAAACCAGGAACAGCATTTTATTTTCAAATTTTGTTACATAGCGTAATGTATACCTCAATCCTATGGACGTTTACTTCAAAGTTATACACTTCCTTAATAGTAAGTAACTTTAAAACTTCTTCCTTCCTTCCGCCCTTCCTCCCTTCCTCCTTCCTTCTTTTCTCACAGACAATTATGTAGTGTCGTGCCACATTCATCACTTAATAAATATGTTAGTTAGCAATAAAGAAGGCTAAACTACTGTCATTCTAAGTTTTGCACAATTACTGCTTTCTATTATTGCTATAATGGTGTACTAAAACTTCTTTTACAAAGTAAAGAACTGGTAGATCTCTGCCCAAAGCAATTCACAATAGTCTCACTCCATTCAAACTTTGAGCATTTTTCTAATTAACTCTGTTTTCTGACAGTTCTAAAAGCATGGCCAGAGAATACTACGCAATGTGTATGTGCATATATATGTATCAAGAGAGCATGACCTGTTATTGCTGTAAATTTTCAACTGGATTGTATTTGCATCAGAAACTGCTCTGGGAGTTAGTTTGGCAGAAATATCGAATAAAAATATAATAAATAGAGCCATGAGTTAACCATTGTTTTCTCTTAACAGTCATACTTCAAGCTGAGATAAATTGCTTATTTTTCATCATTTTTCAAGCATTCCATTCTGCTCTAGAATTCCCAAATCATTTTCCCTGAGGTTAAGCTGCCAAAGACGAACAAAGCTAAACACAGCCACTGTTCAATACGCTGCTTATGCACCAGCACTCCACTGGGTTGCTGTCACACCCTTTTCCTCCAGGTCTCCACTGCCACCTCCTTTTGTGTTTACCACCCCCCCCCCCCCCCCCCCCCCCCCCCCCGCCGCCTCTCTGAAGGCAGCCTGTATTGCCTTCAGGACATCACCCCAAAGTTTACTCCTTTTATTCAGATCTAACCTGTCCTTTACTCCCCCCACTTCCCAAAGCATCTGGTAGCAATGCATCATATGTTCAAGGTAATACATTTTATCCATACCCTTGCAAAACTATCTCCAGTCCAAAGCAGAGGAAAACATTTTCAACACCAGGAAAAGATGTGGCAATTTGTTTTATGTCTGGTTCACCATGTGCGAGCCAAATCTGAATCCGGTCTTCACAACTGACGACTCAGCATGAATGTCCCTTCTCTCACATCCAGGGGAAGGAAGGTATTTCATCTTGAAACATATACAATCAAAATCTATTTGGCAGTGATAAAGCAGACTGCTTGGGATTGCCACTTTTTCTCCTTGATGTTCTTTTTTTTCAAGTTTCAGAAAGGTAAAAGAAAATTTCATTGATTGGGAGCACTTTGCACCAAAAGGAATGGAAATATAGCAACCATCAAGTGCCTTACCTATTGTGGTTATCCAGAGCACTATTTGAAAACCAGGAGGGAACTGTGGGGGGAAATCCATGACTCCCTTGGTCCAGGATGGTCCTGCTCCGCACTGGCCCTCTTCCCTGCTGTCAGTCCTTCTCTCTAAGACTCTGCCAAAGCTCTGATGTTAATGCTTGGTCTCTTGCTGGCTTATAGAAGAATTTCACCTCCTGCCATGGAGGGCTCTCAGGGTCCTAAAGCCCTCGTGGTTCCCTCGCCACATGCGTTCATTCACTTTCTTTTGCAATTCAGGAAGCAAAATGACATGCATTATTAACATCTCTATATACACATTCATTTCTTTAAATGGGAACATTATGTTGGAAGAGCTGATATAGGCAACTTTGTCTCCATTTGCATCCTGACACTGCACAGAAAAACCCTTTGTGTTTGTTTCTAACTAAAATGCAAGCTTGGGTTAAATCAACTCTCTTTCTCAGTTTCTGACAACAGTATCAATATACTGCAATCCAGATAGCTCTCTCTGCAGTAATTGTACAGACTGATTTTAATAAATGAGCTTTGCCTACCCATATTAATATCAATTAATGTTTCCCCAAAGGAGTCACCATTCCTAAAAATCTAGGCTTGATTTGATTCACTGCAGTCATGCAAAAGCAGATTGAGAATATGAGCGATTTCCCATGTTATATTTCTGAATCGAACTCCTAAACACGTCTGGAAGTTTGTATTTTTGTCTCCTTCTACAAAAGACTAGGAAAATGTTAAGCCACTCCAGATATTTTGCATACCTGTATTTTTCTTGGAAGGAGAACATGTTGTAAACACTTCATATGGGTGTATCTGTATTGGCTGTTGGCCACTAGAAATATTACTAAACACTTTTTGTACATTGTTCACCCTTAACTTGTTGAAGTTGTCTGTTTAAATTATTACTGTAAAATGCAGACGTGTGTTACTGCTTCCCCTTGATATCTAAGAAAAAAGCAGTGCAGACATTCTGGAGCACAATTCTTCTGGCCATGCTGCCTGGGGGAAATCTAGTAACAATAGTTCATGAAAGTAATATTTCCAGGATCTAGAAAAAGATACGTAGAGATTCTTTCATAAGTCCCTACTCAATTCTGCCAGATCATAATGATTCAGATGATTATATTGGCCATTTGAACCAGCTCCAAAAATAACTAAAAAGGAAAATGTATATAGTTTCTGACCTGTTTCCTATTTCTGGTTTTCAAAATGAAGCCCCATTTACTCTTGCAGGTATAAAGCAAGCCAGTTTGCATGCAAACACCCCTGATATCTCCAGCGAGGGGTGCAAAACAACCCCATCTTAAACCCTGGAAAGATGTTGATAGTCAATGATACTGAGTGAGATGTAGATATTTAGACACACACACACACACACATGAACAAAGAGAAGTGATAGAATCATGTGGAAAGTGTTCCATGGAAGATGGAAATCAATACAATTTTATTTGTTTGTTTGTTTGTTTGTTTGTTTACCATATTTAGGAATTTGCTGATTCTTTCCAGAGTTTGACTTCCAAAAAATATCAAGCTAGTTGAAATCTCCATTACTGATACATTACCCCTTTTCAAATATTGGGTCATATGTTTCAGGAATACATCACCCATGTCCTCAGTCTGGTTTAGGCATCTGTAATAGACTTTCACAATGACATGTTTCTCTCTCCCACAATTTTTACTCGGATGCTCTCACTTGTCTTTCCGAATTTAGTACTTGGATTGTTTCAAAGGTGTAAACATATTTTATATGTAATACCACCACTGCTCCTTTCCTGTTTGGTTTATTTCTTTGAATTAGATTATATCCCTCAAGTCCTATATTCCAGTTATGAGCCTCATTCCACCAAGTTTCAGTGATTCAGTGAATATTATATCACATTTGCTCTGGTGTGTTAAGAGTTCATCTTGTTTATTTCCCATTCTCTTAGTATGGAATGTCTACATACATTCGCTTCTTATATTACTTTAATCAATTGCATTGCATTAATTAGTGGCTTTTGACTACAGAAAATTATGCATTTAACAATTGAGGAGACAGATCTTTTTTTTAGTGGGCCAGGTGAAACTCCACAAGTGTCTTGAATTAATGGGTTCCAATCCCTTACTGATCAGGAAATTACAGTCAAACTAGAGTCCTTAAGGAAAAGTTAGTATCCATCATCATTATCATCATCATGGGATAGTCCTCTGAAATGTGATTTTGCAAGTTATTACTCAGTTGTTTGAAGAGTTTGGGTCCAGACTACCTAACCAACCGCCTCTCCTCATATGAACTTGCCCGGAGAGGCCCTCCTCCTGATCCTACCCCTGTTCCAAACCCAGCTGGTGGGGATAAGAGAAAGGGCCTTTGGAACCCGTCTCTGGAACTCTCTCCCAAAAGATGTCAGAATGGCCCCATTGCTGCTCTCCTTGAGGAAACAACTGAAAACCTTTCCATGTTTCCAAGCATATGGTGAAATGAATGATTTAATACATAGCCTATGAGATATGGAATGGTTTATGGAAATGGTTTTTAATCTCCACTTTATTAATGTTGTTTAAATGTGTTTTATAGGATGGTTGTTATTATTGCTTTTATAACTATTTGTTTTATACTATAATTGTATTTTATTTAAATTGTATTACTTGTTTATTACTGTATAAAGCATTGAAGATTTGCCTTTTTATGTTCTGTGAGTCACTCAAGTCCCCACAGGGAGATGGGGCAGGATATGAATAAAGTTTTGTTGTTGTTGTTGTTGAATGGGAATAACAGCATCTTTTTTCACCAGATGTTATTTGGTTTGATTAGTGTTGGGAGTGTTCTTTTCAATGGCACTTTAGTAACTGACTTGTGTTCATAATGCAACTTTTATTCTCCAGATCATCCACATTTACTTTTCCCATGACTTCATTATCTGTATCAGGGGTGGCAACTGTGGTAGGCAGCCCTGAAGGGCTGCACCTTCTCCTTCAAAATGAATGAATGAATGAATGAATGAATGAATGAATGAATGAATATTGTTCCCAAAGGCTTTTGGGGACATGTGGGCATTTTAACTGTGTTCTTGGTTTCCAAAACAAAACAAAATAAAAAACGCCCACAAAATGCCAGTTCTTGGGGCTAAATTGGCCCAGGATTCCCCAAAAATATGGTGGAAGTGCACTCCCCAGTGGACATCTTGGAGTTACTCAGGGCAACAAATATTATTTTGAAAAAAATATATGCAAAACCCAGCTTTTTATCTCTAGAGGGTCCAGGGGGCCTTCAAACATGGTGGAAATGACCTATATACTACCACACCTCCATATATTGCATTTTGGATGCATTCTGACATACTTACACACACACATATATACACACACACACATACATACATACACACACACACACACATAACATTTTTTCACACAAAATATTTTTTATCTCTGAAGGACCCTAGGACCCACAATAATGCTCCAGGGAGTGGGTTCATACTGTCAACGTGCTGCACTTTTCCTATCTCCAGTATTCAAGGACACTGTCAACTATGTATATTATTTGTAAATTTTAAATTATGGATAAGAATATTTCATGCATCTCATAAAGTGGAACACAGTCTACAAAAATGCACAATATAATGAATTAGCTCATTTTAAGATAACACAGATTTCTTTTCATTGTTAAACAATGGGAACTGCTTTTTAAAGATGTGGTGATGGCCATAAAGGTAGATGCTGCTCCTTCTGCCAGAGATTGCTGTTAGTTTTTATGACCATTTCTCCAGGAGCTGAAATCTTGCACAGGAAATCTTCAGTTCAAACCTCTGTCAGGAACATTGTCCATCACCCATAAAACCCAAAGAAGCCCCCATGACAACAGATCCACCAGATGCTCCACCTTCTTCAATTTAGTCAAAATTTGGGTTTTATTAAGCTGTATTTTATAATGTTGAGTACTGTACTTTTAGCATAAATGATTTGCTTTCTTTCAAATTTAAAATGAACTTTATTTTAATGATTTTTAAAAAATATTAAAATGGATAGTTGATGTTCCTTTTTTCAGTGTATTGTTGAAGGCTTTCATGGCCAGAATCACTGGGCTGTTGTAGGTTTTTTGGGCTATATGGCCATGTTCTAGAAGCATTCACTCCTGATGTTTCACCTGCATCTATGGGAGGCATACTCAGAGGTTGTGAGGTTCCTTTTTCAGTCAAAAAATCTCCAAAACAAAAATGAAATTAAATGTATTTTATTGAAATGGACAGCAGATTTTGGGGGTGCCACTGTGCTGGATTCTGGAAGGGAGAGTCCGACTCAGGCATATAAACCCACTGATGTATTTGGGAAAACTGCACTCCCATAGCAATAGAGCAGTGGTTCTCAACCTGTGGTCCCCAGGTGTTTTGGCCTACAACTTCTAGAAATCCAAGTCAATTTACCAGCCAAAACATTTGGAGACCCAGAGGTTGAGAACCACTGTGGTAGAGGAAGGCAATGACGATAACAAATCTTAATGATGTGGTCCTCATAAGTCAAAGCAGACTTTAACTTAAATAACAATAACAACCACCACAAACAAAGTGGAGCTTTTATTGTAAGCCTGTGGCTAGGGAAACTGCAAATATGAATCTTGAAATGCAACTAAGAAATGCATTAAATAACTGCCTATATACATTAACAGATGAGGAAAAGACTAATGCATAAAGACCCTGCTGGCTTCCATGTCAGACAAAGTGAATCTGAACTTTCAGTCTGCTTTTTAAAGGAGCTCTCCAAGCTGGCCCTCCAACTGGTTCAGCACTCTGGACAGATTCCTCAAATTGTGAAGTAGACAGCAGGGATTCCCCACTCTACTGCCATAGAAACTAACAGCTACTATTTCACAGAGGATAAGGCTATCAGTGACTCTTACTCATAATAGTTGTACATTTCACATTTCTTCATAATATCTGTTACTAGAGAACAAAAATGGGAGACTGTGCTCATATCTTGCTTGTAAGTTCCCCTTAGGCATCAGGCTGGCCAGTGTAGGAAGCAATATTGGACTAAACAGGTCATTGGTACAGGATTTTCTTCTGATTGTTCTGAGATGCATGTTCTCTCTAATCCCAAAGGTAGCAGGACTTCATAAATGTCTTCATATTTTCATATCAGAGTGGCTGCAAACTGAAGTCTGGCTGAAAAAAACAAAA